TGAAAGTCTGCAAGAACAACCTCAGACACATATGAAGACAACTACATTGGCAAACAGGGCAGTTGATACCATCATCTGATGAGGACATTTGGGCAAGCCTGGAGAGAGGTTTTCTCCCTTAGTGTCTTATGCAGCAAGACTATTCTAAGCACACTACTGCAGTGTGGAACTGCATTCGTGTTGTGGATCCCTAATAAGAACAGATTTTTAAATGATTTGGAAAATTAGTGCAACCACTATGACAAATGGTTGAAAAGATAGGACAGAATCACCCAGTCATTTTTAAACGTTGTCCCCTTACATGGCTCATTGCATACAAGGCCATCATTATGGTAACAAATAATGTGTTACAAGCACTAACCTGACTTTTGGCTCAAAGCAAGGCCTCACAGCCCAAGTCGCTGGCCAGGCCTGCAGTGTGCCAGGCACTGATGTATTGAGGCACTCTCTTCCCTGTGTTCATTTGGAAAGCATTTCAGAGATTTGCTTATGTTCTACCTTCCGTGTGAAATCATTTTTCCTTTATTGGCAATATTGTGGAGTATTTTAAGTCATGCATGAGAATAAACAGAGATAGAATGTGCAAACTACAGAGGGGACTGAAGCATTTGGGGTGCTCATCACTGTGGACATGATGTGTAAATTTGCTTCTACAGTGGGTAATACTTGTGTTTCTAAATTATTATGTCTTGCCAAGTTTGCTTACTTATACATTTGTAACTTAAGATCCTGTTTTTATTTCTTATTTTTAGATTAGGCTTGAAAGCCCTGGAGGAGAATTGAAAGTTTCTGGAATATAAAATAAATGAATGAGTCAGGATGCTTCATTCAGACTTTTGACACTACAGCTCAGCTTTCACTTTTTAGTCAACGTTGCAGTCTCATTGAAGAAAGGGGGTTTGAGCTGGGTGGTGATGATGCACATCTTTAACCCCAGTACTCGGAGGCAGAGGTAGGTGGATCTCTGTGAGTTCAAAACCAGCCTGATCTACAAAGTGAGTCCCAGAAAAAACTAGAGCTGTCACAAAAACAAGCAAATAAACACAAAAGTACTTTGGAAACTTTAATTAAGTGCTAGTAACAATTAACTAAGTGCTCGTATTGATTAATGAATGCAGTTATTGATTTGACAGTGCAAGAAACATTTTTTCCTACTGGAATCTGTCTGCATTCCAGATGTTTGAGATGCTTAAAATTTGGATGAAAGAATGAAAGCTTATGAGTACATATTGGGTTTCCTATGATAAAATTATGTAAAACAAGGTGATGAAGTTTCAAAATTTTAATTCTTAATAATTAATACTCTATTTGATGTGTTAAATAATGGTAGAATGTATATTTCCATGTTCTTGCTGAGAATCTAACAATGTAATTTCAATATGAGAAGACATTTCTCTACAGTACAAATTCCCAAGACATATGGTGGTAATTAATTTTGTCTGATACCTGCTGACTCTTCCAAAATGGATCAAAACTCTTTAAAAAATAATTAGGAATATATTCTCATTTTCTCCTACAGAGAAAGAATACCATGTTTATATTATACAGGTAAATTTGGAAAGATATAAAATATAGGATAATATATATATATAATAAATAAAACAAATAAATAAAATACATGTATAATATAAACCTATTAAACATTAATAAATATTTTGTTATTTTGGTTTCAGATATCTGCTTTGAACCCTGAGTAATTAAATTTTCTGAGCAATCTTGAATGGTGGAATTCTTATTTAATATCATGCTTACTGGACTTTTAGTAAGAAACTATCACACATATTATTTCTTTTTTTCCTTTATATAAGAGACCCTGCAAAAAATACTTCATAGAAGTGTACAAATTTGAGTTCTAGAACTATGTAAAATCAATGAGGGGGATCCTTTTTTACCTATTTGAATGTTGTCTTTCTCTTTTCTTTCTTTTTTTCATACTTCCTCCTTCCTTCCTTCCTTCCTTTCTTCCTTCATTTACTGCTTTTTTGAGTCAGGGTTTCTCTGTAGCTTTGGTGCCCGTCATAGAACTAGCTGTGTAAACCAGACTGGCTTTGAACTCAGAGATCCTGCCTCTTCCTCCAGAGTACTGGGATTAATCACCACCGCCCAGCTGAAAGTTGTCATTTACATACTAAAGGAGATACTACATAGAAGAAAATGTCCTTGTCAGTAAGGATACAGGAGTCTATTGTGTTAAATATTATCAGAGAGGACTGGAAGATTTGGCCAGTTGGACACATTCACCAGCTCACATTTTTGTATATCAAATATTCAGATAGGCCAGTTTAAGAATCTCTTAAAGGGACAATTCCAGGCAAAGTTTCATGACTTTCAAAATGTGTGAAATGCTGACATTTTTTGCTTAGGTAATTTGTTTTTCCCTTTGTTTACTTGGTAAATATTTGTCGATAGCTACTATCCTTTAATTTTCATTTTAAAACAGTTTTGCGCTTTATTTAGTGACCAGTCTTACCCCTACCCCTACCTCATTACTACTCTTGCTCACCCTCTCCCCTCCCAGTGATTTTTCTCTCACAAGCATGCCTATTATTATTGTTTTGGGAACCACCAATATTTTTGAACTCCTGTGTGACAATGGGGCTCTCTATTGAGCCAGATGGACTCAGCACAATGATGTTGATAGAACTGGTGTACTGGGACCCAGGGTATGTAATACCCTTGATTTGAGTTCATGCTTCTAGCATGAATGATTTTTTTTATTAGTACTTACTCCCTTTTTTTTGGTTCTTTGAATACAGTATCAACAATTATAAAATCACTCAAAATATTTACATTGACTTTGAAAAATATTGTATTAGGTATATCACCCATTTCCTTAACAGTTATAGCAGTAAAAACTACTTATATTTGTTAAAATTACTGTTCAATATATAGAATTGACCTTGCCTTCCATTCTCCTCAGGTTGTCAATCATAGGAATGAGGAAGAAATGTTAGCTCAATATCATGTCAACTTTAAAATCTTTTGGCTACCTGAAAGTTTCATCTTGTAATAGTCTGTGAACCAAAAGACTTTTCAACTTTGTCTAAACTTATCTAACTTACAAGATATTAAGTAGAAATAGATTAATTACAATAAAATATAAAATTTAATTATCATCACTACTAAAATTAAGCCTAGATATAGTTTGTTGATGTTGTAAGAGTTAACATTCTATCCATTAATTCTTAAAGTATAACAGCAAAGTAGTTGAGGATGGTTAGAGGCAAATGCAATTTATATCAGTCATCATTCTTGATATTAGCAGGGATTCAAACATTTCTGCCAGAGGTTATTAGATTCATTATGTGGAATGCTTACTAGCACTTAAATGTATTTCACAATATTTACATTGCTCCTTAAACTTGTTTGTAATTTTAAAGTTTTGTAATTAGCTCATACAGAATCTTCTAGAAATCATCACTTATTACTCATCACTCATCACTATGCTAATTTCAATGAGAAGCATGAAAGGAAGAGATAAAACTAATGTTGGAATGGGAGAAGATCACAGAAGCCCCCACTTTGTCAGCATCAAAAAAGGCTACATGCTCTATGCACACACAGCCTACCTTCTCCACATGAGCTGTTTTGAGAACTTTGCACCTACCGCCTATCTTGTCCTCATGATTTGTTCTGAGAACTCTACACACAGAGCCTATCATGTTCTCCTGATCTGTTTTGAGAACTCCTTGAACACATAGTCTCTCTTCTCCACATAAACTGTTTTGAGAACTCTTTGCACACAGCCTATTTTCTCCCCATGGTCTGTTTTCAGAGTGTTTTCCCTGGAGCAATCATTTCTATTGTTTACATGTATCAGCAGAGGAATTTGAGTTATCCTGAACAATCTTACCTTTCAAACATATCTGCCTCCAGTCCTGCTGTGACTAAACCTGACTGCTATCCACCATCAAAGCAAATCAAGACTCTAAAATCACTACATATAACTAGCCGCTATATTATTGTTTTATTGCATACATAAGTAGATTAGTACAGCCATTTTTTTATGTCTGTGGTTGAAAATCACGTTTCTGTAACTTATGCCAGAGGCTTTGGGTTATCTTCAGCATGTAATGAGAACTTCTCATTCAAGGGATATTTTTCTTTTAATGTGTTTCTAATAAATTACAATACATAGGTATAATTGATAGACAGCTTGGCCTGAGATGAGTTATTTCTACAATCCTTCTTGGGGGGACATATTTATCATTAGGGATCACGTGCCTAGTTCACAGTATGGTTGCCATGGTTGGCCACTCATGTGGTAATGCATATGAACTATAGTAAATTCTCAACTTCAAAAACTCATATGAACATTTTGCACTTTTAAAAAAATACCTATTTCCAATAAGTGAGCCCTGAAAGGTTAAAAGTACCCACTTATCAGGCTAATACCATGAGCCAATCCTCTACCTCTTCCTTCTTTCTGTTTTATACTCATTGTTTTTCATGATTTTTATCATAGATTTGAAATATAGTTTGATAAACTAAAATAGCTCATGTATAATTTAGTGGTAATAATTACTCTATTATGATGATTATTTGGTTGAAAACATAACTTTCCAATCAGAGCTGATATATATTCAGAATACATGGATCAAATTTTATGTATTTTTCACAATGGAATAATAGAATGTTTATATAGATCTGTAATGATGGTTTGAAAGACCATTCTTTAATTCGGTTTTCTGTAGATCTGATTCTAATTGATCCAGGTGTGACCGGCATCTTTATGTATTAACAGTTCTTCTGGTGATTTAAATGCTTTATCAAGATAGAGACCCACTGATCTGTGAATTGGATGTGCATTTGCAGCTTAAACAAATTTTTTTGTTTAATTAGTTGAAAGCTGAATTAGTTAATTAATTGGTTAATTAGTAGACTTCCAATAGTTTTCATAGACCAATATTTGCAACTATGAATAGCCCATGTGAGTCCTCTCCCATTTTTACATATTTTCCATTCAGTTCTGCATGCATGCATTTCTGATAGTGACTCACCCAGATATTCCCATCTTGATGATAGGGTTTCCAGTTTCTCCCAGTGTCACTGTAGAGCATCCGATACTGCGTCACCCAGTCAGAACTGCTATACCTTCCTTGGGTTGCAATGGCACTGATCTGCTTCCGATTGCCAAAATCAACCTGAAGCCATTGATAGTGGTCACTGTCTGATGGTGACCATCCCCCAGCACCTGAAATGGACAGAAGAAAAGGGGAAAATGGAAGTTTAAAATTGAACTCTTACAATTAAAAATGAATTATTCTATATTACTTAATTGGCCTTTTCAGTGCTATGTTTCATAGATGTATTACGAAGTAGCCTTTATAGATGCCATTGGGACTCCAACTAATATTCTTCCAGCTGGGTAACATTGGTTCTTTAACCTCTTTATGGTGTAATTATGTGCTCATTTTCTCCTGAGCAAATGTCTTCATAATTCCTCAATTAGATCTTATTAGTATATGTCAAAGTCTAATTGACTGAGGGTTGATCAATTTGCCATGAACTCTTCTGTTAAAACCATAAGAAAAATATGTAGTTATGCTTTTCCTTTTCCTCATGTGAGGTTTTATCATTTAGCAAATTATAAACAAAACAAAACTCAATTATAACAACTTTCAAATACGTTTTGTTTTAAGAAGTTCAGAATCAAAGCCTGTAGATTCCCTGTTTCTTAAAATAAATTACAACTGGATATTAAAGCTTTGCACTCATGAGAGGTGAGGGATGTTGGAAATGAACCACTCATATTAGAAAGGGATACTGTTACTTGGTAATAAAGGCAATGTTACTTGATAGCCACATGTTATATAAATTATTTGAGACACTAGACAAAATTAAATGTCTTTGAGAAAATATGATACTTGACCAGCAAATAGTAAGAAAGGAGAATTTTTTGAAGTCAAATAGAGTTAACAGAGATTAAAAGGATTCAAATTCTGGTCCTATCTGTGACTGCCTACAAACAACAGAGGTTACTACTAGAAGTCAGCTAAACCCATAAATAAACTCCCTGCTGAAACAGAAAACAACTCTAAGTCATGGCAAGCCATTAAAATTAAAAATATCCAACAACAATCACATTTATAATGTTCACTATAAATTCAAACCACTAGGTCTTTGGAGAAGCAGGAAAATAGGAGTCACAACCAGAGAAAAGTCACTATGCAGAAATGGATCTCAGAATGACAGATATAATAATAATTATTAGATAAAATTTGTTAATTATTAAGAATTGGTAATGCTTTTTTAAAGAATACACTTAAAAATTTAAAAAGGAAGTAGAAAATATTTATGGGATAAAAATTATTAAAAGAGAATATAATGGAAACTTTAGAACTCATATATATATATATATATATATATATATATATATCTGTGTGTGTGTGTATATAAAATTAGAAGACTACTTGTCTCTCTTCATAGAATATTGGATCCAATTGCACTTTGGATGCTAAACATTCTCCAAAGATCCCTGTGTTTGAGACCTTTGCCCTATTAGGTGCTACTAGTGGTTCTGATTGTTACTTTAAGACATTGGAGTGACTGGGGGATACATTGGTCATTGGTAGTGTACCCTTAAGGATGATACTGGGACACTTTTCTCTCTCCTCTTAATTTATGCTCAGAGGTGGAAAATATGAAGAAGCTGATAGGATGACTACCAAATATCCAGTCGGGACACTGTATATGTGTTGAAAAAAGTGTTTGAAAGTCATTAAGTGCAAATAACTGAGAGTTTATTGAATCCATGCAGAATGAGCACAGATAAAAACATATAAGTGCACTTTTTCATCACTGCTAGAAAAAAATGTTAAAGATAGAATCTGCAATATCCTTAGAGGGCAGAAACTTTTCATTAGAAACAATACAGGCCAAAAAGCATTGGAACTGAGTACTAACAGCAGGAAGGAAAGAAACCGAAAAGTCTTCATGCGAACTTTCTATACTCACCAAAAACAACCTTTAAAATAAAGTAACACATAAATACTTATTTTAAAAGCTGTAACAATTGATTACATATCTGTTTATATTGCTAAAAAGATAAAATAGACAATTTTGGATTGTTTGATATTAGAATATCTACGTACAAAAAATAGGCTAGGGATGGTTCAGTGTGATAATACATGTTAAATAATTGTGTTTGAATTTTCTCTGAAAGATAATTGATTGTTTAGGACAAAAGCTTTTCATTATAGCGTTTGTAGTATATGAAGTAGCAAACTGTGGGGCTATGATAGAATCAAGATGAAAGACTAGACATAGAGAACCCTAAGTCCTCTACTTCACGCATTAAATGGTAACTGATAGAGGCTAATTCGTGGGCCAGGTGCCTTTTCCATTACTGGTTGGATACTGAATATTTTAGGCTGTGCAGGTTATGTCATTGCTCCTACAATTAGTTTATTTCTATTGGAATACAGCAATCGTATACGTTCTGTAAAGATAGTGTGGCTATGTTCTAATAAAAATGTGTTTATACTGTGAACTTTGATGAAAATGCCTCACTAATAAAAGATACCAAGCCTCAATGTCCTTTATTTATGGCTAGAAACCAAATATGAGTGAGTACATCCCATGTTCCTCTTTTTGGGTCTGGCTTACCTCACTCAGGATAGTGTTTTCTATATCCATCCATTTGCCTGCAAACTTCAAGAAGTCCTTGTTGCATGCATGTTCAATTGTAGAAGTGGATCATTCGCTTTTTGTACTACAGTATGAACATTTTTTTTATAAATATGGCTTTAAATTACTGTAAAAAAAAGGTACCAAGCCACATGGCTAACACAGACAATAATTATGGATCATATTAAAATGTACAAATTAGTTAATAAGAATCCTGAGCATTAGTTTATAATTAATGTAGGCCTCTCTATGTTTCTTTGGGACTGAATGGCTTTGGGACCGGCTGTGTGTGTGTGTGTGTGGTGGTAGGAGAGTGACAAAATGTGCTATCAACTCTTGGCAGTGCTTTAATATCATACTTATATTTGAAAGGTTTCAAAAGATGAATTAATTAACAAATGCCATTAATGATGAATGTGACACTAATAGACTTGCTAGTATTCAAGTGGTAAACCTCATGAGGCCCCAACACCAGACATAAAACAACAGGAAACTAAGGAATGCTGAGAGAAGGAGAGACTTTGCTAAGTGATCAGTCCTAAAAACAAGTATGCAAGTAACATGTACTGACTTAGTGGGTGGTACCGTTTGGAATGGCAGTTAAAGTCAACAAGGCAGAGGGAATTAGAGAAAGAGAGAATAGGGAGTGGTGAATAGGAAGGGTTGGAAAAGGGAAATAAGGTCATTTAATTTTAATTTTTGAAAAACATAGAATTATTTTATTTTCAATAAAAAATTAAAAATTTCCCTGTATCTAATACATCAAGATATTTAGAAAAGACATATATGTAGGGTATCTTAACTGCTTATTACTAGCTATAGAATGTATGTGTGTGTGCGTGCATGTGTGTGTGTCTGTGTGATCTGTCACAATTGCTTGGCAGTACTTAGTCTACCTTCAGACAGCATTTTAACAGTGTGATCTTTGCAAAATATACCCAAACTATCTCATCCATTTACCTTTAAATTATCTCTACTTTTTCCAGAGCTTAGCTTCCTGCCATCGCGTGGAGGAGATACAACCAGAACATATTATCAACACATTCACATGTCCTCCCTCAACTTAGCTAGGCAAATTTTTACTTAAGTATCAGAATGCTCTCTTTATAAGGTGTTTCACACAGTGAATTCTCTGAAGAGCCCTCCAGGCCTTCCCTTACTCCTGGGAATCTCACTTGCTTAGTTTCTCGAAACCCTGCAGGACACAGAATTTGGGGGCAATTGCTCTTCAGGAACTTCTTGAAAATAATATAAAAAGAAAGTTTCCCAAGTTAATGTCCCCTCCTTTTCTGTTCAAATGGTGTGAATCTGTTTCCTGGGGCCATCAAGGGCTGGTACCTGCTGTGATTTATTAAAGTTCTGTGTCTCAGAGTTCCCTGAAGGATTGATGATCGTCTTCATTGAGATTAAGTCATCACTTGGTGTCTCTCTTTTCTGCATAATTCCTTCCTCTTCCTCAGGTGTTCATCTCCAACGTATTTCTTATCTAATTATCTCATTCATGCCACTACTCAAGCTAAAATTTGCAAGCTGAGAATTCTAGTCTGCCAAAGCTCTATTTGACCATGTATCTGTTAGTCTGCTCATCATCAGTGTGTTATTTGCCCTGGGCTTATACTTGCTTATTATCTACTTGTTGACTTTATATTTCTTACGGCTAAGAATCATCTACCTGTTTCTAGAATTCTGTGAAATAAGTTTGGGAGCCAAAGATATATTTTTAGAATGATAATGTGCTCGGTCAAAAAAATGACTACATTTCCTTTTACTGGCAGGATTTTGAGGGAGGGTTTTAGGTAGCTCATGTGGCCTCAAACTGTTTAAGTAGCTTGAACTCACTGACCTTGAACTCATGACCCTCCTGTGACTACTTTTCAAATCTAAGTTTATAAACCTGTGCCAACATATCCAGCTATATTTTCTTATTAGCTGAAGAGTTTCAACCCTTGAAGAAATTCATTGCTAATTGAAATAGAAAGTTCTATCTATATATTTCACAAAGCAATATAATGATTTTGCCAATGAAATCAACAAGCAATTAATATAAAGAGCATAGAGGAAGCAATATGTTCCATTGATTAGTGAAAACATTTTTCTTGTGACTCACTAATGAATACTCCAAAATAAATTTTCTTTATTCAGCCACTTTTGCCACATTGCTTTTCAGTAAGTAGGCAATTAACACACAGCTACTCAGTCCAATTTATCTCATTACTTTTAACAAGAAGGGATTTACTGTCAACTTTAAAGGAAACAAATATCTCAAGAAAGGAAAAGGTAAGTAAAACTTACTTATTTTTATTTTTAGCAGATGCAAGTGGGGAGAGAATAGGTGATTAACTCAAGGAAAGCAAAAGTCAGTTTCCCAAGGAACATGGAAGAAAGATCAATATCAAGTTTCCCATTTTTCTTTGATCTATCAAGCATGTAATTTTAGGAAGTTGATTACTTTGTTTATTTGGCTTGTAAAACTCGTAACCTCTATTGATTCACAGATTAGGAATGATTCATTTTAGATCACAAAAGTTCCAAAACAGCATGTTGTAGGGAAGAAGTGTCTGTTCT